GGCGGCGGGTGGCGGGCGGCGGGCAGGCCGGCCGCGGAGGGGCGCCCGCGCTGAGCCGCGCTCTCCGCAGGCATCGGGCGCGACACGGTCCTGGCGCTGCACGCGGCGGGGGCGCGGGTGGTGGCCGTGAGTCGGACCCAAGCCGACCTGGACAGCCTTGTCCGCGAGGTAGACGCCACCCTGTCCCGGCTCTGCGGGCGGTCGGGTCCTCGGGCTGCAGGGAGGCCGAGATGGCTGCTGAATCGCAGGGAGGAAGTGAACTCGTCCGAGGCGGGGCCGGGCTCCTGGTCGCGCCGCCTTGGGTTTGCACAAAGGGCGCTGGCCCCTCTGGGACCCCTAATCCCTCCCCTTGTCCTCCCGAAAGGTCACCGAGCCCCAGCCCCCTCCCTCAGTGGCAGAGGCACAGCTATGCCACTTCTCGGGCATGGAGTCTCTGATCGCTGTTCCCCCTCCCCCTGATACACACAGTGTCCCGGGATAGAGCCCGTGTGCGTGGACCTGGGCGACTGGGAGGCCACGGAGCGGGCGCTGGGCGGCGTGGGCCCCGTGGACCTGCTGGTGAACAACGCTGGTGTGGCGCTGTTGCAGCCTTTCCTGGAGGTCACCAAGGAGGCGTGTGACACGTGAGCCCCAGGGAAGGAGAAGCCCTGGGGGGAGGGGCTGTCCCCTGCAGCCGCTCCAGCCCCTGACTGGGGTCTGTTCATCTGCCTCTAGGTCCTTCAACGTGAACCTGCGGGCTGTCATCCAGGTGTCCCAGGTGAGCTGCCCTGCTGGGCAGGAGCCAGAACTCTGCAGGATGGTGCTAATTCTGCCTCATCCTCCCTCTGCAATTCCAGATCGTGGCCAGGGACTTGATAGCCCGGGGAGCACGGGGGGCCATCGTGAATGTCTCCAGCCAGGCATCCCAGCGTGCATTGACTAACCACAGTGTCTACAGTGAGTGAGCCCCAGTTGTACCCTGGTCCCACCCCACATGCAGCCCCCAGCCCCAGCCACAGCCACCTTGGGCTCCACGCCATCCCTCCTCGCAGGCTCCACCAAGGGTGCCCTGGACATGCTGACCAAGTCGATGGCCCTAGAGCTCGGGCCCCACAAGGTGAGCCGAGCTGGGGTGTCTCCCATCACCCAGCCAACATGCTCAGGGAGCCCTGCCTGCCTGGGTGACCCCTCCCTATCTGGTGCAGATCCGTGTGAATGCAGTAAACCCCACAGTGGTGATGACACCCATGGGCCAGGCCAACTGGAGTGACCCCCACAAGGCCAAGACTATTCTGAACCGCATCCCACTTGGCAAGTTTGCCGGTAAGTCTGGTGGGAGCCCCGCCCACAGTTGCACCAGTAGCCCCTGTGTCTGAGGCCAGGGGCGGGAGGGAAGGATGGAGAGCAGCCTCCTTTGTCTACACCACTGGCCCCTACCCCACTGCAGAGGTGGAGAATGTGGTGGACGCCATCCTCTTCCTGCTGAGTGACCGAAGCGGCATGACCACAGGCTCCACTATGCCAGTGGATGGGGGCTTCCTGGCCACCTGAGCTCCCTCCACCCACACACCTCAGCCCAATGCTGAGCCCACCCCTGTTCCCCCATTCCTTCAATAAACCTGATTCTTCTGCCCAGATTGCGTTGCTGATTCCTGGGCTGCTAGCAAGTGGCTGGAAGGGCTCAGGGCTGGGTGTGGGAATGGATCCCAGGTAGGCAGAGAGCTGTCAAATTCACGTTCCAGGCCAGGTGGAAGCCTGCCTCCCACACCTGAGATTTTCAGGCCTGGCCAGCTCCCTAGCAGGCATTGGGAGGTGGGACCTTCCCAAAGGCTGGTGCCTAAGGAGGGTGGTGAATTTGATCAGGGATGGCCTTTGGCCCTGTCCAGAGAACTCTGGGGTGGAAGTGGCAGCGTGCTTGTGAGTGTTAGCAACAGCTCTGTGAGTTTAATTCTGCTGTGAATGTTGGTCGATCTTCCTGGAAGTTAAGGAGTAAGACCAAAGTGAAGCAAGGAACACGTATGCCAAACGTCACGGTTTGCCAGTGAGGCAAGCAACTCCCTCGTTGAATCAGGTAGTCGTTTTGAATGCTGGAAGAGCGGTTCCTAGACCTGTGCCACTCCTGGTGTACTGAGCACAGACACGCACATTTGAGCTTCATCTGCATTTTGTCTCTCACTTTGTTAAGTCTAGACAATTAACAATAAATCAAGCCCTGATTTGTGAAATTTGCAAATTTCCGTGGTGTGAACACTCTCATCATGGCTGATTTCAAGCCATTGACATCACTGAATGTGAAGATGGGAAGAGGTGCACAGTGGCACCCTTATGTAGTATTTGCACCTTACAGACGGGAGTGGTACTATGTATAGGAATGATCAGGAAGTGGTGTGTTTCAAGGATTTGTTAATTTTGGTCTTAATAGAATGAATTGTAAGTTTATATAATTATTAATTATTAATAATTATTATTAATAATGGCTGTTTAACAACCAGTTAGCAGAATTCCTGAAACTTTAGCAGTTGGCTCTCCTGAGCCAGTACGAGCTGAGCATGGCCCTGCACAGCACCCTCTAATCACATGTCTGCCTGGAGCGATGCCCTGTGGCCTTCGGATGAAGCCTGAGCTCCCAGCCCGAGCTCAGCTGGGGGTGTGCCCAGGCTTTGCCCCCAGCCTTGCCTCTTCTCTCTGTTTCTGCCTCTAGCATCGCCAGACTGCCCAGTTCTTGCCCTCTTCTTCCTCCACATCATGCTCGTCCTAACCTCTTGCCTTTGTCACCCTGGCCCCTCTGCCTAGATGCCCTCCCTCTTCCTAGTGCCAGCTGGGGAGGTGGGGGTTCCTTGGGGAGATGGTTCTAGGTCCCGAAGGGCTCCGTGAGCCTGGCCTGACTTCAGCCTCTTTGCAGACTGCCCTCGTCAGCACTACGCCCTCTCCTGGGTGCCCCCTCCCCGCCCAGAGGCCTTCTGGCACACCCCAGGGTTAAGTGCACCCACTCCTACTTTGACCTGAGTCATCCCCTTTGGGGCCTGAGGCAGCTCAGTAAGCCCCTTTTCTCTCCTCCTCTTGCCCAGGGTGTAGGGTTGACATCAAAGCCCCTCTTTGGGAACTTATACTCTGGGTGCTGCTGTGGGTGCCACAGACTTTCTCTGCCAGACCACCCCAGGGCAGACGGGCAGGCAGGGACATGGCAGATAGCGAGAGAGGCAGGAGGTGTTGGTAGAGAACGTTTATTGTATAAAATCAGAAGGGGCCGCCCTGTTCTGGGTGCAAAGGACAGAACCCACCCGCCACCCTCCCCCTGTCAGGGAAGCCCATCCTGGGGCTGCCCTGGACCCAACCCTGCAGCCCTGAGGGAGACCCTGCTCCCTCCTGGCCTCCCATGGGGGCCAAGGAAGGCTGGAGCCGAACCCCAGAAAGAAGAGGCAGAGAGGACGGGACCCCGCCACCCCAGCCTTGTCCCCATGCTTCTCCCCTCCCCACCCGCACCACTCCCCCACAGCAGACTCAGGGACACCAGACATCTCAACACAACAGCAGACGGGGCGAGGGCTGCTCCTCTCCAGCCCCAGGCCCTGGGGGGCAAGGGCCCTAGAAGACCGTGCATTTCTTCCCCGGCTTCTTCACTGGGGGCGGGCAGAGCACGGCCCGGATGGCCTCGTCAAACACCGTCTTCAGGCCCCGCTGGGTCAGGGCTGAGCACTCCAGGTACTTGACAGAGCCTGGGAGCAGCGCGGGCGGGGGCAGTGAGGGGTGGAGCACGGGCAGGGGCACGGCCCTCCAGAGGACGCCTCCCTCCTCCTTCCTTCCTCCTCCCCCGGCCTGTGGTCCCAGCCGTGCCCACTCACCGATCTCTCGGGCCATGGCCAGGCCCTGTGGGTAGGTGATGGGCGCCAGCTTCTTGTCCCGCAGCCGCTCAATGGTGTCCTTGTCGTCACGGAGGTCCAGCTTGGTGCCCACCAGGAGAATGGGTGTGTGGGGGCAGTGGTGCCGCACCTCTGGGTACCACTGTGGGGATGGAGGCTCTGACCTGTGGGCATTGTGCCCCCCACCCCCTGGCCCAGAGCAGGCCACAGCCCGCAAGGGCCTCTTCCTTACTACCCCTGGGCCCACTCTTGGCTCTTCCTGTTTCAAGAGGTGACCAGGGATCTAGTGGGTTTGGTGGGAAATGACCAAGAACAAAAACGCCCCATCAGGAAGGCTCGAGACTTATTAGGGCCTCCCAGTCAGGGCCCATCCCCAGTGGCGAGAGAAGCATCCCCATTCTCTGAAAGGCATGCCCACTGCCCCTATTCTGCCCCTTGACCCCTGCAGGGCCACCTTCAGACCTCACCCCACGTGTCCACCCCAAGCAGAACAAGCATCTCACTGGCCTCTAAAGGACAAGCTGTGTAAGGTCTTCAGGTGAGACTCCTGTCCTATCAGATCAGGTCCTCGGGGCAAGCCCTCCCCCCAGAGGGACCCCTCCATCCTGGCCCTACCTTGGCACGAACATTCTCAAAAGAGGCCGGGCTCACCAGGGAGAAGCAGATCAGGAAGACATCCTTGGGAGGGAAGGAGGTGGAAGTGGTCCAGGAGGCTCTGAAGGGCCCCTGTCCCCTCCCCCATCTGGGCCTCAGGGATCCTACCCGAGCCACCCGGCTCCTGGGGCTGGCCCTGTTGGCACCTACAGTTTGGGGATAGGAGAGTGGCCGCAGCCGGTCGTAGTCCTCCTGCCCGGCAGTGTCCCACAGCCCCAGGTTAACAGGCTTCCCGTCCACCATCACATTGGCAGAGTAGTTGTCGAAACTGCCAGAGCAGAGCAGGAAGGGTCAGGCCTTGGGAGGGGTCCCAGGCCACCTCAGCCCAGCCAGCCCGTGTCTTGGGGTTCTCAAGCTGCACAGAACTGGAACTCTGGCCAGCACCTCGGCCCCACCCCGGAAGCCCAGAACCACGGCCACCTGGGCCAGATGTCCACGCTCACGGAAGCCCCATGCACGTGGGCCCCAGCCCTCTGGCGGGCCGGCTCTGAGCCCGCCTCCCGCCCCGCACCCACGCACACGGTGGGGATGTACTCTCCGGGGAAGGCGTTGGTCGTGTAGCTGATCAGCAAGCACGTCTTCCCCACGGCGCTGCGGACAGAGAACAAGCCCACGTGGCTCCCGGGCCCAGCCTCGGCCCTGTGCCCAGCAGGGGCAGTCCCAACGCACGGAACCAGAGACCAAGTTAGGGTGCCTGCGGTGGGGACGGAGGCCCCAGCCCGCAGATCGGCAGCGACATGGGGCTGGAGAAAGAGGGCCAGGGCAGCCCGCGTCCTGGGGTGAAGTAACGGGTGCGCCCCCAACACCAGCCCCAGGCAGAGCGGCAGAGCTCCCAGGCTGCCGGGCGGGTGGCACGGGAGGGTGGGGCCGGCAGACGGCTCAGCCCAGGTGGGAAGCCCGGCCCCA